GACATTAGGTAGATTTGGTTAGTTATTATGACTTTACCCTGGTCTTTTTATGTGATCAGGCCTCTGAAGGTTTCCTGTTATTTAAATTTTAATGTTTAAAAGGGGCACGAAAATGATATAATTACTACTCAGTTACCCACACGTAAGGTACATTGCAGGCAGTTTCTCTCTTTTTCTCTCATAGACAATGAGTAACTCTGGCTGTGCCTGTACACCTAGCAACAACAAAGCCAAGCTTCTTTATTTCCCAGTTACACTGCCTGCTCTGGCTCTTAGGAGAGAGAAAAAGAAGAGGGAGCTGGGGAGCAAGTTTCCTGTTGAGCTGTAAGGACTGGACGCCTCTGTGGTTTCTCTTCCAGGAGTTGGCTGGATAAAGGCAGGTCAGGAGCAAGGAAGGCGCTTCTGAAGGCGTGATGGCCTCCCCACCAGACCCCTCTTCTCCTCAGCCCAGAAAACTCTCCTCTCATGGTGCTAATGAAATGCAGGGATGGCTGTGTGGGTGGTGGGTGGGATGGTTTTGGGAGTTGGTGACTGAATACAGAAACCAAATGGCAACAAATCTCAGGGCTGTCGCCTCTCCAAGTCACCTCCCTCGCCTTGCCTCTTGCTCTCAGCCTCCCTCACCCTGCTCTAGTCACACTGGCCTCCTCACTGCTCCTGCCACCTGGCAGACATGCTCCCTCTTGGGGCCTTGGCACTCTGTGATGCTCATCCCCTAGGACCCCAGATGGCTTGCTCTTCCCTTTCTTCGGGCTCTGCACAGGCCTTCCCTGACCACTGCATCTACCACTGCACTGTTTCTACCTGCTAGTCCTCCCTCCTGATTGCTCCGTGGCACTTCGAAAAATCTGACATATTACAGTGTTGTTTACTGTTTATCTCCCTCTGACAAGAATGTCAGTTCTATGACAGCATCGATGTTTGTTTTCTTTATTCGATGCTCTATCCCCATGGCTGAGAACAGTGCCTGGAACACAGTAGAAGGCTCAATAAATGTTTGCTAAATGAATGAAAGAAAATGGGGGGGAGGAGGGATGGTCAGGGGTCATGTTTCACTATCAGCCTCTCCAGGATACCACAAGGTACTGGTACCAGACACACTAGCAGAATTAGGTTTCCGAGGACTGTGGTTAGGAGCAAGCAAGCATCACCAGGCAAAGAAGGCGGCTCTGCCTGCCTACCTGCCTACAGCTAAATGCTCAGGAAAGGAAGAAATGATTTCTGAGGATGAAAACAGACAAACAAAAGACATCTCTATCCATAAAACACTTACATCTTTCCCTTAGGAAAAAAGATCACAGTGATTAAGACAATTCATGTTTGAGTCCTTTGCCTTCCTAGTCACCATCCACAAAGAAACCTGAATTTTTAAAGCCAATGTACCATGTGACTGGGCTTCCTTTCCTAGAGGAAGAGTTTCCAGGATTGCCAGATCTCCTATCTCCTAGATGGGGAAAGTGTTAGTTACTCAGTTCTGTAACACTCTCCCTCTGGGTGTCGATTCAGAATCATTGAGCTTTTTCAGATACAGTGACTAGGAAAGCAAGTCAGTCATCACAAGCAATAGAAGCTGTGGGTCAAATGTCACTGACTAATCATCCTGTCATTGGTCAATTACCTACCCCCATGAAGAGGTGCCACTGATCTAGTTTCCTATATCAATAAATGTCTGTCTGGGCACATCAGCAGCTGCTAACCATGGCCCGCCAAGATATCCAGCATCGTCCACAGGCATCGGTGGTTAAGAAATGCCTCTCCCTTTCTTCTTAATAATGTCACAGAAGAGGCAAATGCAGATCCTGACAACATAATGTTAGTTTCACAGAAACGTGCCTCTTTGAGTGCTCAGCCAGTTACATGGGGCTTCAATTGCATGGATTTTCTCACTGCAAAAACAATAGCTGGCTTAAGGAAGTTTGGAGGCTGAGATAGACAATTCTACCTTTGGTTGTGTTCATGCTCATTATCGCCACTCTGAGTCATGGAAAGAAAAATTAGTTCAGGGGAACCATTTTCATTCCATGTTTAAAGAAAACCAAATGGGCACTGTTTTCTCTTGCTTTAAGCCCAGTGACACCTTTTTCTGGAGTCAGATTGAATATCTTTGATTCTCTGGGTAGAGCCAGAGGTCAAGGAGGCTTTGTCACACAAAGAGCCTATTTGTCTCACTCTGAGTTGTCACTTGGGCAGTGACCTCATGTGTTCCTGCTGGATCTAAAATTCTAGATCTCCTACTGCACCTGCTATAATTTCCCCTTCTACACATTTTCTCTGACAGGGATGCTTATTGTGAGTTGCCACAGGCTTTATATATCAGGTGAGGCTGTGAGGAGGCAGCAAGTAAATGATTATAATACAAATATAATTCCTATTGGAATGAATATATAGAGAATGAATGGGATCACTGAAGAAAGAGGTCTAGATCAGCCCAGGAGATGATGGGCAGTTAGGGTAGCATTCCCAGAGGAACAGAGTCTTGAAGGGGGAAGTAAGAGCTGGGTACAAAGGGGTGAGGAGAAGGCAGTGAGAGACACTAGCAATGGAACAGCACGTTCAAAGAGTTGAAGGCATAGAGGTGAGAGAGGGGTGGCATGTGCAAAACTGCAGGAAGCTGGACAGGCTAAGATGGGCTTGTGTAGAGGTGGGTGGAGAAGCACAGGACAAGGCTGTGTAGACAGAAGCAAGTCAGATTGTTCTTAAATGCCTTCGTCTGAACTTTCTCCCGAAGGGGCGTGACCGCGTCAGATCTGGGGTGGGGAGTCGGCTGCAGGTGGGGAAGGAAGGGCCAGATGGAAGTCTGGAAGACCAGGCAGAGAGGAGAAACTACAAAGGTACAACTGCAGTGGGCGTGGGGAAGGGTGGAAGGTTTTGTGAGATATGTAGGAGCCAGTACTGACAGAACTGGTTGAAGAGGAGAGGCAAGGGAGAGGAGTAAATTCAGGAAGATTGCCATACTTTTAGCGCAGTCTACGGATAGATGGGTGGTACCACTGAATGAGCTGAGGGAAATCTCAAGGTGACTTGAGCAGGGGAAGGGAGGATAACGGAATTCCATTTCCGGCGTGTCGGTGTGAGATGCATGTGTAACATTGTTGGGGGCGGAGGTGGAGTACCAGGTAAGCGGGTAGAACACAGGGAACATTACAAGAGAGTGGGAAGAGCCACTAAGCTGCCAGTTTGCTTCCATCTTCATTGGCGAGAAGACTGGTCTTCAAATTAGAAATGGCAGAACAACCGTAAAAAAAGGGAAAATTGAAGCCCCAAATAGGTGAAGTGAAAGAAAGAGAGTATCTAGTCAATTTAAATGACTCCAAGTCTCCTAGCTCCGGTGAGTTACACCCCACGCCTGCTGAAAGAAATTGCAGATGTAATCTCAGAGCCACGATTGGTAATCTTCAAGAGACTGTGAAGACTATAAGGAGTGCCAGTGACCGGAGAAGGACAACTGTTCCCCAGATTTTTAAAGCGAAGAGGAATAGATTGTAACGGGAGACATTTGGGTAAGTTTCACACCATCTATGACAAAAATTCTAGAATGGCTTATTAAATAGATGGCCTATGACTGCTTTACTTCATACCCACAGCTGAGAAAAAAGGAAGGACAGGGATGTTGTTTGCTATCTGACAGAAGTTTATTTGCACTGGTAGCTTGTCCAGACTGACTGTGGCTTCTCTTCCCCCTTCCTAAGCACAAAGTGGGTTTGTCTGGTCTGCAGTGCTTCTCTATCTGTGTGACTTGTTGCCTATGTTACACAACCTGTATGTAGCCCTTTATGAAAAGAGGTTAACAATTTAAATGAAGAAATCCACAGTCAGAATTCTCCCAGAAATCCAGCATCACTCGTCAGGGGGCCCCTGGGGACTGGCAAGCTGCAGTAACCTCTGTGGTTATTAGCCTTAACATCAATAAACCTTTGCCTGTTAGAATCCTACTACCTTATTTTTTTGGTGCTATTTCTCTCTTTATATACGCTGACTTTACAATGAGAACAGAAAACAAGGCAAATGTGGTAGACAGTGATGGGGGGCGGGGGGGAGGCAGTCCTGTCCCACCCACATCTCCATGTGGGTTATCATGTAAGATACCTTAACTACTGCTAAACAGAAATATAAATATGTAACATAAATATGTATATATTAGTCTTTCAGAGGCCTTGTTAGAACCTTCATAAAAAAAGCAAAAAAGGGCAGCCTATTCAACACCCAGATGGCTCTCTTGAACTAAAGTATATTCTCTAGGGGATATCATTAGTCTCGTGTTTTAAAATTATATGAGCCTATATGTCAAACAATGTTGGGTTAAAGTTCCTTTCTTAAAAAACAAAGCAAAACAAAACAAAACAAAATGAAAACAACCACCCCAAGCCCAGATTTTTCACTAAGAAGATTTTTTTTTTTTTAGTACCAGGTCTCATACTCGCATTTGTTTGGTTCATATGTAAAGCCATTTATTGAAGTTGAAAATTAGTTTTGATTCTACATAACCTCTCTTGAATTATCCTCTAAGCCCCTAACCAACTCAAACAGACTTAAGAAGGAAGTGAGCCAGAGGCCTGGGTGGCTCAGTCAGTTAAGCTTCCGACTCTTGATTTTGGCTCAGGTCGTGATCTCAATGTTCATAGGATTGAGCTCTGCATCTGGCTCTGAGCTGACAGTGCAGAACCTGCTTGGGATTCTCTCTCTCTTTCTCTCTCTCTCTGCCCCTCCCCTTCTCATGCTCTCTCTCAAAATAAATAAATAAACATTTTTTAAAAAAGGAGGTGAGCCATACCCAGGGAGAGCCTCTAATCTAGTCTCTCTGCAAGTCTAATCTTGGTGTATCCTCCCACCAGAAGATCCAAACAAGCACCCTGTATCTCTCTCTGTTCCCCCTTCAATATTTAGAGCACAGAACAGAAATGTATCTTCACTGAAGTTAATGGTATCATCATTGTTCTAAAACAGAATTTGCACATGTGTCTTCCATTTTAAAAGTAATGAATGAAAAGGAATCTCCTTACCGTATTGACCCGATCATGTACGGCTGTGCCAGTTGAACCACAATTGCACCACTTCCTAGCTGATGACACGTATAGCCAGAGTCCCAATCATAATTCTTGGTGTCTCCATTCAGCAAGGCATTTCGGCTCCGGCTGACTCCTTCAATCACACTGGCACAATCAGCAATTGTTGCAACATTCTCCATGGGAACTGTGAGTGCAACACAAGATTCAGCATCAAGATAAGAGAAGCCAAATATATCCTGATAGTGTGCAATGAACAAAATTAATTACAATCTCAAATCAATGATAAAAGGGAAATTAGAACATCTTGATTATCTCAAGACATGAACACACTTTCCATGCCAAATAGCTTCAAGACAAAAAGTTGAACCTAAGATTGGAACAAACCAAACAGCATGTAATAATTAACCCTGAAGTATTTTACTATAAAGAAATATGATACTGCATAAAACACAGAATGGATAAATACATTTGAAAATATTACTATAATAGGAAACTACACAGTAATTGACCTCAATGAACTATAGCTATATACAAAAAGATGAATCAAAAACCATAATGTTGCTTCATAAAAAAACGTGACTTCTAAAAAACTAAAAACTCAAAAAACAAAACACATAATGTCGAGTGAAAAAAGCGAGGCACAAGAAAAACACAGAATATGAGTTCATTTATACAGAGTTTTCTAAAAAGGCAAAACTAGAAATACACTTTGTTTAGGATGGATATATATACATATATATACACATATATATGTACATATATATACATGTATATATATATACACATATATATGTACATATATATATACATGTATATGTATATATATAAACATAAAACTAAAAAGGAAATCCAGGGAATTATTATATCAAACTCAGTATAATGTGTCTGGGAACGGGGGATGAAATCTTGCAGGGCGTCCTACCAGTGGGTCCAAACATTAATTGATTTCATTTCCAAGATGAAATCTTGGAGGGGCTTCAAAAGTACTGGTCTTGTTGTGTTCTTAAGCTAGGTGGTGGTGAATACACAGGCACTTGTTTTATTAGTATACTCTAAACTGTATATATTTATTGCACTTGGTAAATATAATCAATTTGTTTGGAAAAACATGATATAATAGATTGTTTTAAAATTCATAAAGCAGGAAGATGATCTAGGAAATGGTACCGATTCCTTTTCAGAATACACAGCTGCCCTCAGCCAGGATTCGTTTCCCTTTTTTGTTTGTTTACTATTCTGAACATTTCAACACATAATGCTCTTCTCTTTGTTCATGAACTGCTATATTTTGAACCAGCTCTGTTTTGATTTTGAGTCTCTCTCTACTTCAAATCCATACCAATCTGCTCACTTATAAAAGTAAAGGGCTTCCACAAAATGACAGCTGTCTAAAAATGAAATATGGGGAACCTGGCTGGCTCAATTGGTGGAGCATGTGACTCTTGATCTCAGGGTTATGAGAGTCCCATGTTGGGTGTAGAGATTACTTAAAAAACCCACAAAATCTAAACTAAGAAAGGAAGGAAGGAAGGAAGGGAGAAAAGAAGGAAAGAAAGAAAGAAAGAAAGAAAGAAAGAAAGAGAAAGAAAGAAAGAGAAAGAAAAGAAAAGAAAAAAGAAAAGAAAAGAAAAGAAAAGAAAAAAGAAAAGAAAAGAAAAGAAAAGAAAAGAAAAGAAAAGAAAAGAA